ATATATATATATAGTGAATGCAGTGTGTGTGTTTGTGCAGTGTGTGTATAGTGAATGCAGTGTGTGTTTGTGCAGTGTGTGTATAGTGAATGCAGTGTGTGTTTGTGCAGTGAGTGTTTGTGTAGTGTGTATATATATATATATATATATATATTGAATGCAGTGTGTGTTTCTGTAGTTTGTATAGTGAATGCAGAGTGTGTGTGTAGTGTGTATAGTGAATGCAGTGTGTTTGTGTACTGTATAGTGAATGCATTGTGTGTGTATATAATGCAGTGTGTTTGTGTAGTGTGTATATAATGCAGTGTGTGTGTTTGTGTAGTTTGTGTGTATATAATGCAGTGTGTGTGTGTTTGTGTAGTGATGTAATTTGTGTAAAATGGAGGGTGGGGGGGGGCATTTTTTTTAATTTTATTTATTTTTTTAATATTTAAATGTTGTTGTTTTTTGTTTGTTTAGTCCCCCTCCCTGCTTCTTACCAGGGAGGGGGGATATAGTATTCCCTGGTGGTCCGGTGGCTTGTTAAGTACTGGGGGAGCCCGCAGGAAGCTGTTTCTTAACCTTTCTTGCAGCTCCTCTAGCTCCCCTGTGTAAATCTTGCGGCCCTTAATGCCGCCCGGAGTGTTGCCATGGTTACCTGCGGCCGCAGGACTCGCGAGATTTGCACTGGGGAGCTGCAAGAAAGGTAATAAACAGCTTCCTGTGGGCCCCCCAGGACTGCCGGGCTTGTAATGAGCCCGGCGGTCATAGTAGGTATTATCGGCAATATCGGTATCTACATTGGCCGATACCGATGTTGCCGAAAATACCAAATATCGGCCGATCATATCAGTAAAACCGATAATCGGTCGATCCCTAATACAGACCAAAGGATTGGGAGCTAATGTTTTACATGAGGAGAGTGTTGTTAGAAATCTTGATGTTTTGCTAATTTAGTTTTTGTCCCCTCTATAATTACTAAAATGCTTTAATTTGACACTGTTGTTTGATATTTACATGAAATACTCATTAAGCTTGCTAGATAATCTCCTCATATTACCCTTACAATTTTGTATTTCTAATTAACAGGCCATTACGATTCCAGAACTGTTTTCAACTGATGGTATTGGGAATTGGGATGCACTGTGTAAAAATATTGAGCCCAAGTAAATTGCAGTTCTTCAGAAAATTGTAATGTGTAAAAAACAAAAAACAAAACCTTGCCCCATATGACATTGCCAAGATAAGAGCCACACAAACACTGTAACATAAGATGTCAGAGCTGTTTTACAGTCACAGTCCCCTCTTGTGTACTTTTACTGCAGAGCTTAGAAAGTGCAACCAAACTTGGGGTAGCAAGTTGTACTATTTTAGGCTTCACCCTATCTTAAAAAAAAAAAAAAATATTAAAAAATGGTCTGGGGACTTAGTGGGGATCATCCTTCTGAAACAGCTGATTGTATGAGTTCATTGGATTTTATTTGTAAATGTGGTCCCTGAGGAAGTACACTTGGAGGACAAAACGCATAGGACCATTAGTGCAAATATTTTATTGAAACTTATTGACACAGACTATAGCTTAAAACCTTCCAATGATAAGGTGGTCCAGTTCCTGAAGGGTAAAAGTGACTTTTAGGAACTGGCCCCCCAACTATATCAGGGGAGGCACCTTGATATGCTGATTTTATCTTGCTGCTTGTGAGTGCAATTTATCTTAAGGAGGCTTATTTACTAAATGGTGTTACACTATTGTGTTATGTATTTATTTTTCTAGATTTTATGCCGTTTTCCCACTTTCTTTTGTGTGTCTATATCATGTTATGAACAGTGTCAACACCATTTTCTGTGCCTGTGTGAACTTAAGATCTATATTTCAATTTTCCTCAAGAACTGTTTTTGTATTTCTGACAGATGTCATTGAGATTTGGTAAAGAGTGAGGGGGGAGGGGACCTTTAAGGATAAGGAAAATGGTGGGAACACGTGCAAGCTGTCATTTCTCTGCCAGACACCTGTTTGTGTGTGTGTGTGTTTTGCCAGAAAGTGTTGCTATGGCCATATATACAGACCAAAAGTTTACTGTTTGAGACGTCTGCTACTTTGCTGCTTAGGAATAGATAGATGTGGGAAGGGTCTGCGCCCCTAGTATACGGTCACAACTCTAAGGTTTATGTCTTAGAATGTATCAGTTGAGTTCCTTTGCAACTCTCAAATCCATTTTGCTGTATTGAGAAATGTATCTATGCATCAAAATAAGTATAGTGCAGGCCCAAATTATGTCTTTAGTTAGAGTTGTAAACCAGACAAATGTTTCTCAACCCCATTCCAACATTGCCTGCTTATTCTTTCTTCCACAACCCTTCGGAGTATGTTGGGCACTGATCTTACCAATCAGTTTCCTATCTCTAGGAATGTTGGAAAACGGCATTGGGCTTGCCTGACAGACTTACACATGCAGAAGAGAAGGACCATGATCAGAGTGTTTAAGACAGAGCAGGCGGTTGGGTTTTGCTCTCCTGCTGCTGCACAATCATGGCTCTGTTTCTGTCATTAGTGGACTGGTCTGAAAGTGAGATGGATGGGTAAGAAAGGGGTGAAAAAAAGTTATCCTGAGAGGTGTGCCCAACAATACAATGTGACCAAGTTTCTATTAAGTTTAGAAACATTTATGATATACTTTTTAGTTTTTCTTTTTTTGGTTTGTCTGTTTAAAAGTGTTTGCTGGTTTAACCCATTTCCGTCATTAGGCTGTGCTATGCGTTCTACAAAAGAAGGGCAGCATAGCGCACCCTAATGATCCGGCCCTCTCTTTTACCCAGCGCTCCAACCCAGGCAGTCGCCCCGCAGCCAATGTCTGCAATCCAAGACACTTAATCACAGTGACAGCCTGTCAGCACAATCACTGTTACAATTCATTAGCTGAGACATTGATCTCTGCTCCTCACTTTGATCTGAGACAAGAGAGGCAGAGAGAAGTTATAGTATCCCTTACTGTAAAAAACTTAAATACTCTTAACCTGTTCAGTGCTAATCACTGTGCTAATACTATGAACAGTCTGATTAGTACCTTGAAGATATATTTCCCAGGAGGAATTTGATTTTATGTATGAGCAATGTACACGCCACTTTCTATATGGGAAGGGCTGAGCGTTTGTGCAGTTCCCTCTGCCTAGTTTCAAACGAACCAATATCATTCGTTAGTTATATGGAGAACTAGTCCCTCCTCTCTATGCTACAATTGAGGGACAGTTCAGCAGCTTCATTAGTATAACAGCCTATTTAAGTGGGGAAGCATAGTCATTTGGTTCCATGCCCCAGACGAAGTTGCTATTTTGGCGCCGAAACGCATCTCGGGCCACTAGCTCACTCTCGCATTTTTTTCACCTATGATTTGAGCACTATTTTGATTGATTCCCAAGAATGTTGATGGGGAGGGGGTTTTACGGTATATAAAGGTTAGCGATAGTGGCACGACTGCCAGTTGATTGTTTGCTCAGCCTATATTTAAAAGTGTGCATTTAACATTAGCTGGGGCATGTCTACTACACCACTTTTTTACTTTATCTACTCTCCTACTGTTACTTTTATATTTCTGTGGCCTAGTACATGCATTTTGTCGGACTTGGGTTATTTTGGTACATTTTGCCATTTCCATCTGGTATATCACCAGAATAGCAGTCTCTGTTTTTTTTAGTTTAATTCAATTCATTGAGACCTTTTTGGGCTCTTTGCGCCATCAATGCATATAAGACCCTGGCAAACTGCTCCTTCTTAAAAATGGTTTGCAAATAATTTGGGCTAGTTCCATTCACAGGGATAGTGTACTCCCTCAGGCTCACATTGCCTGACCCAGTCATGCATCGCAACCTTATGGCTTTTTAATGTGCAATTTAGTTTGTTTAAATTGGATACTCAAAAGTTTATTTTTTGTTACATAGTTATTGGAGAGGCTTCGACTGTTAGACTCATATGCCCCCTTTGGATCTATTTGTTTACTTGGAGCATATTCTAATTATAGTGGGTAACCCCCACTTAAAGTCTCTTCAGCACATATGTTTGGTTCCATAGTTATAACTTTAGCCTTGAACAATTTGACATGCCCAATTTATCTATCTCAAAGGCACAGTACAGTGGAAATTGAATTTCTGGATCTTTTCATTTTCATCAAGGAAGGAAAATCAGGGTACTTGCTTTACAATAAATCTACGGCCCAAAATAATCCCTACCACTCTCTCAAAATTTGAGGGTAATGAGGAATAATTCAGACGTGGCATGTTGTGATGTCCAAATGCAAATAAATAATTTAAATATGCATAGAGTGTTTATTTCAAGAATATATTAATGTAGGCTAAAACAAAAGCTATGGGGGGAAAATGGAAACTACTGACCGGACACACTCAGATAATCAAACTTGATTGGCTTTCCCTGAATCCTTTCACAACAAATCAGGATAATTCAATAAAGTCATACAAAAGTGTGGCATTCTACAATAGTACTCTTTCTTACGTGACCTATTCTGGACACCACCATTGCCATGCTACCAGTGGATAACAAATTTAAGACAACCTTGTTCATATTGCTTAATTTGCCAAAATTAAACAGTCTACATATGTTAAAGGATGCTATAGCTGCATAGAAACATAGAATGTGCCGGCAGATAACCATTCAGCCCATCTAGTCTGCCAAGTTTTCTAAATACGTTCATTAGTCTTTGGCCTTATCTAGGATAGCCTTATGCCTATCCCACGCATGCTTAAACTCCTTCACTGTGTTAACCTCTACCACTTTAGGTGGAAGGCTATTACATGCATCCACTACCCTCTCAGCAAATTAATGTATCCTGATATTTTTAAACCTTTGCCCCTTTAATTTAAGACTACGTTAGCTTGTTGTGGACTTTTTCTTATTTTAATTATAGTCTCTTTTACTGTTGATTCCCTTTATGTATTTAAATGTTTCTATCATATCCCCCATCTCGCCTCTCCTCCAAGCTATACGTGTTAAGATCCTTTAACCTTTCCTGCCTACCTTTGAGTCATCTGAACTTACTCCAAAATCCATTGGTTTATGTGTTGAGGTTAGTAGGGTATCAAATATTCTATACTCTGTGCGTGGGCTTTTATGCACAAGATGCATTACCTTGTATTTATCCACATTAAATGTCAGTTGCCACAGCTCTGACCAGTTTTCTTGTTTACCTGAATCATCTTTCATTTGGCTTATCCTTTCTGGAACATCAACCCTGTTGCAAATGTTAGTATCATCAGCAGTTTCTATAAAGAGTCGGACTTGGACATTAATCGTGAAGCATAGAATCACAACGACTAAGTATTTACAAATGTTCCGTACTGCTAGTATCCATACTCAACTTATTTAAATCAATTTACGTAGCTAACTTATTTATATTATTTACGTAGCTAATCCATCCTTGGATTGATCCATTTACTAAATATTAGAATTGAGTCTTTGCGCACAGATTTCAATCGGCTGCCGATTTTCAATTTATGTAGTCCATATAATATATACATACACATTATGAATTAGCATTTTAGTTTGGCCAGCTCTTATGAGGCAGGCACTAAATCATATAGTCTGAGGACTATATTTTGCATCTCTGTACTTTGCTTCTTGGTATGTGATAAGATGTGATGAATAGTGTATATATTAGAACATCTTTTAACTTATCTACATTGTCTTCACCAATACTATGGTTTTTTTGGGGGGGGAGGGGTTCTCAATCTTTTTGGTCTTGAAATGTCAACACCTTCCTGGTATAAAGACTGAAATAGTCACACCCCATGTTTTGCTTTGTAATTTTCCAAAACCCCATAAAACCTGTACATGGGAGATACTATTGTACTCATAAGACATTGATGAACACAAATGAGTCTTTTAGAGCAGTAAAATAAAGGACATGGATATCACTGAAGGTGCATTTTTTGTGTGGAACTTGAACCAGGGTTTGTGATTAAGCAGCAACAAAGAAGAAAAAAAAAAAAGTGGTTGGATATACCCCATTTTTAATAGTGTGTGGTCTACTTTTGCAAATGGTATGCCACAATGGCGTTATTTTAATTCCTGGGCTACCATGCAGTCTTAAGGGCAACATAGGCCCAGAAAACCAATCTGGCAAATGTGTAAAAACTTTGACTCTGGAACTTCCCAAAACACCATGAACCCTGTACATCGGCATATCACAGCATACAAGTGTGTTTTATGCAAACTGTATTATGCAATTCACAGTTAAAATGCCATACAAAAGTAAAATAACTTCTCTATATGTGTATTCATAGTAAAAGGAACATTATAGTGTCAGGAACACAAACATGTATTTTTGACCATATAGTGTTAAAAAAAAACAAAAAAAAAAAACACTCTGGCCACCACTCCCTCTTAATATGGTAAAAATCCAGTGTGCTGACTCTGCCCCTGATCATCAGGAAAGGTGATTGGCAATTCTGATGATCTCAGCCAAGGAGGCAGGCCAGAACGGTGGGCCAAACATCACGCTGGCCAATCAGAATCTCCTCAGAAATGCATTGAATTAATGCATCTCTATTAGGAAATTTCAGTGTCTCCATGCAGAGGGTGGAGGACAGCCTCAGAAAACATCTCTGGTTGCCATACGAGGAGTGGCCCAAAAAGGCAGTGTTTACAACAACAACAAAAACTATAGGAAACTACTATACACACCAGAACAACTACATTAAGCTGTAGTTATGGTGACTATAGCATCCCTTTAAATTGTTCTCCATATATATTTGGCATGATATGAAAGCCCTATTTCCCCTCAACAGTGATATACAATAAGCGTGGGTGCGTTTAATACGAAAGCGGTAATTTATGGTTGAACAAACATAACTCAAAATCTAGGTTTAGCTTTGGTCAGAACTTGGACACTTGCCTCCATCCTTAAGGGGTTAAAGATAGAAAAGAGCCATGGCATCAGAAGCAGAATAACTAACAAAAAGATTGAAAATCTTACAGAATGGTTCAATAAACCCTTTGAAGTCAGAAATCTACAATGGATTTGTGCATGCCATGGCCTTGCAAGTAAGCCGATTAATATAAATTGACCATCCCTATGTTTGTAGAAAATGAATGAGGGAATATTCATGACAACCAGTGTTAAAAATCCCCTGCATTCCTAGCGATATCTTACAAAAGATAGAGGATTAGACAGATGAAGGGTGAGAACCTGGTCTATTTCATGATGATTAGGAGGGTCTAGTACAACAGTTTGAGGAACCTCAGAAGGAGTTCCGCTGGTGTCACTACAAACCAGCAATGGTTGTAGAGCTTGAGTGAACCGATCAATTCTGTGGACCTGCTCCTCAAGTCTGGCCCTAAAAGAGACAAATTGTTGGCTTAGACCCACAGGATCTATATAGGCCAGTACATATTATCGGGAACAGGTTAAATCCGCAACAAGATATAAGCCAACCCCTAACAAAAGCACAGTCTGAGAGATAGAAGAGGCATATTACTGGACCTTAGAGTGGCCAGGTTTAATGCTTAGAATAGAAATAAGAAGTAGCAGGACTATGCCAACAGTAACAAGGACAGATTATCCAGACAAATACAAATTACATATGAGCAAAACGAAGGTCAGGACAAGTCTTGTCAAAAACTAAAAACAATTTCGTTCAGGACTAGTC